TGAGAGCCTTTCCCTTAAGATCAGGAACATGTCAAGGATGCCCACTCCCGCCACTATTGTTCAACATAGTACTAGAAGTCCTAACAACAGCAATCAGACAACAAAAAGAAATAAAAGGTATTCAAATTGGCAAAGAAGAAGTCAAACTCTTTCTCTGCAGATGACATGATACCTTATGTGGAAAACCCAAAAGATTCCACCCCCAAATTACTAGAACTCATACAGCAATTTCAGTAATGTGGCAGGATACAAAATCAATGCACAAAGGGCGCCTGGGTGGCTCAGTTGGTTAAGCCACTGCCTTCGGCTCAGGTCATGATCCGGGAGTCCCGGAATCAAGTCCCGCATCAGGCTCCTTGCTCAGCAGGGAGTCTGCTTCTCCCTCTGACCCTAGCCCCTCTTGTGCTCTCTCACTCTCACTCTCTCTCAAATAAATAAAATAAAACCTTTAAAAAAAAATCAGTGCACAGAAATCAGTCGCTTTTTTATACACTAGCAATGCAACTGTAGAAAGAGAAATTAGAGAATCGATTCCATTACAATAGCACCAAAACCCAAAATATACATATTTTCATATGACTAGTATTTATGCGTTTGAAATTCTGTTAGAATACACAAAATGAAAGAAAAGAGTAACATGTTTTTATTTAGTTCATTTATCTAAAATTCATTTTTTAAAATTCCTGTGATGCTTCTGTTTATGCACATTTCTTAAACTTTCTGTTCTAATTCATAGTGAATATTCTCCTTTTACATTTAACACATTAAAAATGCACAGAATAATACTCAATAGTGAGAAATAGCTTGTATAAAACACGAGAGGAGGTAGCAGGCAACACACTCCCAGCAATGTAAAGTTTTATTTTACTTGAATTTCAAGGATCCTGTAATAGCACTATAATACTCTGAATCTTCAAGAATTAAGTATTATAGTATTTTTATGTAAGCCAAGATGGTGAACATGAATTTTATACTGGACACAATATATCTGGTTGAGAGATTTTTCTCTAATGTGTAATCTGAACCCAAACCCAGGAAAGATAGATGATTGAATTCATTTAAAATTAATTAATTGTGCCCAGTGGTGTGACAGAAATTCAGAAGACAAAGGAGTATATAGAACACTAGTAAGAGTTACTGACATGGTGTCCCTTGGATTCTAAGTTTTATCTGTGGTATGGACCAGGGATTTCAATGAATGACACTGAGGCAGAAGAGGCAGAAGCAAACCAGAAAGATTGAAAAGTATACCTGATCATGGGATCTCTAGGTTTCTATTTTAGAAGTGGCACATTTTTGGTGATGTATCTGACACAGGGCATGTTCTTGCAAATACTTGTCCAGGGAATGGCTAAGAGAGTGGGTGGCTGAGAGGTATTGGGGGAGAATGTCACTTAAGCTGAAGTGGCAGAGAAAGGATAGTCAAATATAAATCAGATCGGGATGATTTGAAAATGACCGTGCCAAACTACATTAACTTTGTAATGTGATACTTAGGTTGATTTGCCTGAGTGATATTAACATTAAATTATGAAGACACTAACACAGTGATCTGAGAAGCAGACAACATTGCTCTTGCTTTTAGCCAAAACTGAAAATTGATTTGTGGAGCAAAATTATGCTATTAGATTGATTTAATTGTCTTTCTTACCTATTTCTTTAAGAATGTCTTGCCTGTTCAAAAGGCAGCTTCACGAACTCTATGCATTTTTCTGCGTTATAATCGTAAACAAGAACAGAGACATGAGGTCATTCAAAAATTAATTGAACGTAAGTAATCATTGCCTCTCATTTTGAAAAACAAAGTAAACTGGCCTTAGTTAGCTCTGACTGACTTTATCAATTTTGCCATGAATAGTTAAGCTGATATTGGTAAATACCTGGAGTGTGTTTGTCTTTGAGTTTTGTAGGTTAATTTTTTTTGGTTTTAGAAATCTATACGACAGGATCAGTCTGTGATGAATGGAAGTTATAATTGGTCTGGGCCTCCTTTAGTGAGTTTCTACACTTGAGAAATTAAATTTATGTTGAAAGTCTAGTTTCTACCCTGATGAAATAGCATTTGGAACTAAAATGTGAGTAGAATATCCATGAATGTAGTCATTTATTTTATGTTTTTATTTTAAATATTAACAGAATGAGGGGGTTTTTGGTTTGTTTCCTTGAGTAGAGTTGATAGTACACATAAATATGAATGGTAAGCCTAGGTGGTTCATGTCTTAAAAAAATTAAGTCAATTAACAAATGCAAATTTATTTTAATTTACTAAGGGCTAAAATCAAGATAAAAACCTTTAGTTGGAGTGTTAATTCTAGAAATAGTGGCACACACTTATATATCCTTTTTAATTACTGTATACTTGCTTTGACCATAGTGTCTTAATGTTTTTATTAAACTCTGTTTTCCAGCATAGGTAGGTAATGGGATTTTCTAGTTACTGGAGTTTACCATTTTAAGTATGGATCACCACTTTTCAAAAAATTAGAGTATATAAAATTCTATTTAAGAAAAATTATGCTTGGTATACTTTAATCTTTCTCTTTTTTACTCTAATTTAATTTTCATTTTTCAGTGATAGGACCACACGTTTAGAATCAGTTTTATTTTGTAACGAGATTCTGTTTGGATTTAAATATTAAGAATTTTGCTTTTGAACATTTGTGTAATTAGGGAGAAAATAATCCTTTAAATGTTAACCTGAATTATTGCCAGTAATACAGTGTTTACATATGACTTAAACCACTTCAGAGCATTCTTATGAAAATGAGACAAAGAAAACAGTTAATTTGATTGATCAAATATAACTTCAAAGTTTGAAATTATACAAACTTGCATTTGAATTCCAACTCTGCACCAGGCAGCTCTGTGACTTTAACCTCTGAATCTCCTCTCAGGAGGATAAATCTATGCTTATTCCATTGGATTGCTTTTCAGGATTAAATGTGATAATAGGTTTAAAGTACTCAGCACATAATGGGTGATCAAAAATAGTTTATATATTCAGTACTTAAAAATTACATTTTTTTTCTGGTTTTTGAGATGTCATTATTTTGGAAGTCTACAAATCTGGAGTGTATAATACGATTTTTTTCTCTTACCTCTTGTATTTGCTAAACAATTGTGGATACAAAGAAACCTGTCATGGATTTTGTGTGTTTGATTTTGTCACATATAATTTCGTGTAGGAAAAATTAAACTTCTCTTTTTTGTTATTGTTGTTTCTAGAACTGGGCCAAGGAAAAAGTTATTGGAATAGACTTCGATTTTTGGATACCTGTGAATTTATTATAGAGATCTTTTCCAAATCATTTTTCTGTAAATATTTCTTTCTACCTGCTATTGAACTGACACATGATCCTGTGGCAAATGTGAGGTATGGTACCAATCCAAGATAATACTTGAAAAAATTGTACTTTTAAATTTATCTTCTATAATATATCTACTTATCTAATATAATGAACATGCAAAATCTTTTTCATAATCAGTTTAAAAAGACAAGTAAATAATTTATACTTACTTTGAAATTCCTAGTAGTCCTAGTTAATGAGCCTCAGTAGAACTTGGAAGCATAATCTTTTTTTAACTGTCCCAGGTCTTTTGTTTAATGGGTCGAGAGGGCAGTAGTCAAAGCCAGACTGGCAGGCTTCTCCTGACACTTGGATACACACATTGACATCAGGAGAAGGTTGAGTAGATATTCTTAATTTGTGGATCTTCTAAGACTAAAGAAAAAATAACTCAAAGTTGGCTTGGCGAAGTTCTGTCCATTTTTAGGGGCAATCAAGAGATTGGCTTTTGTTTTATATTTTCAGTGTAAGAAAATACAGAAAATGCCACTGCACTGGCTTCAGTATTTTGTGCATCTTATCTGTGCTAAATCACTAATGAATCTAACTACGTTGTTAACATTTTGCAAATTAAAGTTGTGACTCTAGAAAAACAGCTCCCAGTGTGATGAACTATCACTTACCAAGCAGTTGACAAAAATTATTTGAAAGGAAATGAAATCATCTTTACCCAGGTCAATATGACTTAAAAGCATAGCACTGGCCCTAAGAGAAAGCAACCTGCCAATTCAAAAACGAAATGAAGATTAATTGAACATTGCTCCATGCAGATTGGTTATTTTGGGGGGTAAGAGATCATTGCATAGCAATTTGTCTTGGTTTCCACTCTTCCGCCTGGGCAGCTGCCAGCCCAACAAATGGGTCCGGCAACACCATATACTAATTAGCTTTTGGATACAAAAGTGTTTGCCCAACTGAATAGAGATGTGTAGATAGAATGAAAGCCATCACAGGCAGGAGTGGTGGGATCATGCAGGTAGGAGGAAGGTTTCTGAAGCCACACCACCTGAGCTGATTTCCAGCTCTCTACTAGCTGTGTGTCTTTGGGCAAGTTACATAATCTCTGCACACTGATTTCCTTAGTTACCCAATTCATAGGGTGTTCTGACGGATAAATACCTGAGATAATGTACGTAAAGAATTTAGATTACCAGAAAGGTGTGATACCTAATCTTAAAATCTTTATAATCTCATGGGCCCAGGATTCTCACAGAGATAAATCAGCACTATGGCTTTCTGTACCTTCTGTTGAATATAGGTTTTCTAGACCTGCCTTGAGTTATGAAGAATGAAGTATGCATAGCCTGTTGTTTCTGTTTTTCCTTAAGTGAATGTTTAAAATTTGAATTCACTGAGTCTAGATAATATGAAGGCTGGAAAGACTACTGGTATTCAAAGGAAAGTGCAAAAAAATTCTCTTTGGGGCAACTGGGGCCTCTTAATTTAGAGACAGCATCCCCAGGATCCGTGGGGAGCTCTGAATGAGTTTGAGACCATTATTGCTATGGACGGAGCTGAAAATTCAGAGAAGAGCCTCTTTCGCCTTTTCGCTTGAATAAAAAGCAAATCTTATGGTGTATGAAGAATCCTCAACTGTAAGCTTAGCTGACAAAGCATCCTGGAAACTCTAGGAATGGGACTTGGTTGTCTCAGGTTTGGCATAGGAGTAAAAAAATAGTATCTGGAGAGCACTCAGATGAATGAATGAATACAGCAGCCAAAACATAAGCAACCGCCTAGCATCCCTCTCTAAAACCAGCCCTGGCAGAGCGGTAGAGAAGTAGCTTAGCGAAGCAGAGCATTTTCTGCACTGCCTCTTCTGTTCTTCCCTGGATTGCCTCTCCCCTCTCTGGCATTCTTCAGTCTGCGTGTTGCTTCCTTATCCATGCGGTATCGCCTGGGATGGTGCCTACAGTCTGTGCTTTTATCTTTTCTTCTCAAACTGCATATACGGCCCCAGTGATCTGTCCAGTCTCATGGCTTGCATATCATCTGTGTGCTGAAGATTCCTGACGATATGTCTCCAGCATGGACGTCCATCCTGGACGGGAGCCACATTGAGCTAGCTGCCCACTGAGCATTTCCATGGCATGTCCCACAAGCACCTCAGATTCAGTCTGTCCAAAAGTAAATCCCCGTCTCCTGCACCCACACCCACCCTTGCTCCTTCTGCAGTGGTCTCCATCTGAGCCAATAACCACTGCATCTTGCTACCTGCTCAGGTCAAAACCTTACCCCCTTTCTGCCACTCCAGCTGCAGTTCCTCAGCACATCCTGCTGCTTGCAAAGATACTGAGTCCAACCACTTCTCGCCACCTGACTGCTACCATGCTAGTTCAGGTGGCCACCCTCTCCTGCCTGAATTACTACTAGAGCCTCCCTGTTGTTTCCCTCTGTCCCCAACCATCTACAGGCTCCTCTCAGACCAGTAGTCAGATGACCCTTCCAACACGTTAAGTCAGATCACTTCACTCCTCTGTGCAAAATTCTCCATGGCTTCTTATGGTGCTCAAAGGAAAAGCCAGGCTCCATGCCGTGGCCTACAAGGCCCTGAACGAGCTGGCCTCCTGTTGCAAGTTTGGGCCAATATGGGGTGACAGCCAAGGCAAGCTCCCCCTATAGGGCATTTGCGCTACTGCAGTCCCCTGCCTGTAATGCTCTTCTCCAGATGTTCACATTACTTGTTCCCTCATTTTCTTTAAGGCTTTGCTTAAATCGTATCTTTTCAGTGAAACCTTCACTGAAACCCTCTATGACCACGTGTTTTAAAATTGTAACACCCCTCCTCTGGTACTCCCTCATCCTTCCCTGCTTTCTTTTTCTCCACAGCACTTAGCACTGTCTGATAGACATTTTACTTATTTCCGTATTGTTTCTTCCCTATCCCATACTACGGTGAAAGTTCCACGAGAGCAGAGGATTTGTTGGTTTCATTCACTGTTGTATCTCCGCACCCAGAATAATGCATGCTTGACTCATCACAGGCACTCCATAAACATTTGCTACACAATAAATAAACTCCCACGCTATCCGCTATCCGGAGTTTGAATTCTCTTTCAATGTCATGTTACTATTATTCTTAGTTATTAAATGCGTTCAAAAGCAAATACTATTTAATTTATTATAGAATGAAACTTTGCTACTTGTTGCCCAAAGTGAAATCTACCCTGAAGATCCCTGCAGATAAGCATCTACTTCAGCAGTTAGAAATGTGTGTGAGGAAACTCCTCTGTCAAGAAAAAGATAAGGATGTTCTGGCTATTGTAAAAAGAGTAAGTATCACTCTTACCACCATGTCTGCCTGTCTTGCATGAAGAAAGTGTCAATCTTCACTTCCCTGTTTTAACTTGACAGGATAGCAATGTGTTAAAATACTTACATTGTTGCTAGAGTAGGATTAGTAACTGACTTGGCTGATGAGTGCCTTCCAAAGGGCACTCAGGCGCTCTACTTCTATTACTAGTAATACAAGCGCCATGAGAGAGAGCTTGGGACATTTGAGGTACTTAATAAATACTGGTCAACCAAATGCTTCATCCACCAGACTTGATTTATAAGGGATTATAATCCAGGAAGACTTTGTTGGTAAAATGGGGGAAGTCACACTTCATAGAAATTTAGCCCTGGAAGGGCCTTCGTGATCTGTTTGATTTTTGCTTCAAAAGCTCTAGGCCTAGAGATAGTAAATGTCTGCTTGAGATCATATTAGCAAGTTGCAGAGCTGGGGCCAGAATATGGATCTCTTACCCTGAGTGCATTCCTTTTTCAGTAATGTAACATCATGTCTTACGGGTTTTTTGTTTGTTTTGTTTTAGCCCGGGATCTTATATGGATTGTTTGGGGATGTTAGAAACTAAAAGAGTAAAAATTTGGGTTAGTGAAGTCAAACCTGAAAATGCCTCATAGTCTTCAAAAACTTTTTGCTGAACGTGAAACTAATATTGTTATAAGATTAAGTCGAATTAAAGTGGCTACTCTTATGAATCTAAATGTGAACTTCAACTTCGTGATTTGTAATGAGAGGAATTAATTTATTAATGTCTTTAACTTAGCATCAATGATGAGAAAAAAAAAGAATCCTTTGATTTTTTTTTCCTTTTGTTTCTAGAGATCATTGCCAGACGTCACACAAGGAACTTTTTTTTTTTAGTTTTTTTATTGTTATGTTAATCACCATACATTACATCATTAGTTTTTGATGTAGTGTTCCATGACACACAAGGAACTTTTTAATAAAGTGATTTGACAACTTACTATTAATTAGTATACTCTTGTTTTACTGAAATGTGAATTCCTCTTTTGCCAACTAAACTAACCAGAAATACCCAGAGTCTGGACATGCATTTACATCTAAAAGCATATTACATACTATATATATATAGTATGTAATATGTAATGTATATGTATATATTACAATAATATGTAATATATATGTATATATAGTATGTAATATGCTTATATATATAGTATTATATATATATAAATAAAATATATTACATGTATTTGTTTATACCAGATATTTCTGTCTTTACCATTTAATTACAAAAGTTTAGGCGATAGAGTTAACTTTCAAAGTAATAAACCTAAGAGGGTTAGTTACTTTTTTGAAAGAATTTATTAACTCAAAAGATAAACTGACCATATAAGTAGGGACAAAAATGATATAATTAGTGGATTATTAATCTACAATGGGTTATTCTGGACTAGAGCTCTTTAGGTATATGTCACATGAGGAAGTCAACCAATCCCATGAAAATTCTTTAGTCTAATGTTTATCAAAGTGAAATCTTGGCATGGGAACCTCTGAGGAAGCTATACAGAGCTTCGGGATAAAAATGGCATGGCTTTATGCTAGTCAGTTTTTTAAGATGGGAAGTAATTGTATTTAAAAGGGACATTTCATGGCATAAACTGTAATATTTTCAGAAATTTCAGCGTAAAAATAAGGCTTCAAATAAATATTACATTTGCAATGGCTAGCTTTGGGCATAAGAATATATAAATGTACTTTATTTGGTCCATCAGAGTTACTCCTGAAGAGAAGTACTGTCCTCTATCAGAGTTAGAATCCTGGGTTAGATGGACCGTTGTTTGATTGAAACAATTTGTTTCAGACTAATGTGTTCTGAAAGAGAAATACTAAATCAAGAAATACTTTCAGGGCAAAGTCTTTCTTAGTGGTTAGAATGTCATAATGGTCAAAAGTTTCTGCGGAAAGGAACTAAGGATTTTAAGCCAAATGAGAGTTTGCTTCATCTATAGTTAGCTAAAAGTTTTTTTTAAAAAATACGAAAATTATTGGGGCTCCCGGGTGGCTCAGTTGGTTAAGTGTCTGCCTTTGGCTCAGGTCATGATCCCAGGGTCCTAGGATTGAGCCCTGCATCGGGGTCCCTGCTCAGCGGGAAGCCTGCTTCTCTCTCTCCCACTCCCCCTGCTTGTGTTCCCTCTCTCACTGTCTCTCTCCCTGTCAAATAAATAAATAAATAATCTTTTTTAAAAAATTCAAAAATTATCTTGTATTTCTGAAAATTCAGAGAAAAGTGGCCCTGGGAGTTATTAGAAGTTTGTTAGTTTGTGTGTGTTTAGTGTGTTCACAGTATCCCTGGAGACTTGCTCTTCTTAAGGTCAAAGTCTTCTACAAGTGCAAATGGATCCTGGCCTTCAGAGGTTAAAAATACAGAATAAAGTTGGGAAGAACTTCAGAGATTTTCTAATTTAGCCTTCCACAGAGTAGAGAAATCTCCTCTTTGAACCTCCCTCTGGAAGGGGAGTCTTTTTGAGAAATGATTGGTTGGTTTAATTTAATTACTGCTGAATAATTTTCACAACTTTGCTTACAGACCGTGTTAGAGCTGGACAGAATGGAAATGTCCATGGATGCGGTAAGCACACATCTTACCTTTTGCTGAAAGAATATTTTAAAATTGGCAGAAGCTCATCATAATGTCTTATAATTTCATTTTAAACTTTAAACTTAGTTTCAGAAAAAGTTTTATGAAAAAGATTTGTTGGATCAAGAGAAAGAAAGAGAAGAACTACTTATTATGGAAATGGTACGTTGTTTTCGCATGCACACATACATACTTATTCCTGACCTGTATTAGCTGGGCTTTGTTATGAATTACTTATTAGTCATTTCCTTCAATTTCACACTGCTGTTTTTCTTCCTAAATGATTGATGAAGTGTCCTGATCTTTTGAAATCTCTTTTATGAACTGGAAGGAAAACTACATGTGAGAGCCTTTCAAAAAACAACTAACTTTGGGGTGCCTGGGTGGCTCCGTCATTAAGCGTCTGCCTTCTGCTCAGGTCCTGATCCCAGGGTCCTGGGAGCGAGCACCACATCAGGCTCCTTGCTCAGCAGGAAGCCTGCTTCTCCCTCTACCACTCCCCCTGCTTGTGTTCCCCCTCTCTCTGTCTATCTGTCAAAAAATAAATAAAATCTTTGGGGCGCCTGGGTGGCTCAGTTGGTTAAGCGACTGCCTTCGGCTCAGGTCATGATCCTGGAGTCCCGGGATCGAGTCCTGCGTCGGGCTCCCTGCTCAGCGGGGGGTCTGCTTCCCCCTCTGCCCTCTTCCCTCTCGTGCTCTCTGTCTCTCATTCTCTCTCTCTCAAATAAATAAATAAAATCTTTAAAAAAATAAAAATAAAAATAAATAAAATCTTTAAAAACAAAACAAAACAAAAAAACCACAACTACTTTATTGAAGTATATAATTGACATACAATTAACTGCATATATATATATAAAGTGTTCAATTTGATGAATTTTGACATACGGATAATCCATGAACCCATTGCTACAATCAAAATGCCAAACATTTCCATCCCCTCAGAAGTTTCCTTGTGCCCCTTTATAATCCCTATCTTCTACTCTGGTCCCCAAAAACCACTAATCTAGTTTCTATCACTATAAATTAGCTTGCAACTAGAATTTATATAAATTTGTTCATATATAGTATTTTCTGCTAATGTTTCTTTCCACCATCATAATTGTTTTGACATTCATCCATGCTGTTGTATATATCAATAGATCATTCCTTTTTATTTCTTAGTAGTATTCCATATTACAGACATACCACAGTTTGTTTACCCACCCCTTAATGAGCACTTGGGTTACTTCTAGTTTGGGCATGTTAGAAATAAAGCTGCTATGACCATTTATAAAGAAGTCTTTGGATGGACATATGCTTTGTTTTCTTTTGGGGAAATACATAGGAATGTAATGGCTGGATCATACGGTAGGGCATGCTTGACTTAAAAACAAACAAAAACTGTGCCATTTTACATACCCATCGGCTGTGGTGGAGGGCTTCAGTTACCCCATATCCTCTTAGCTTGATAGGGTGGGTATGTAATCGTGTCTCATTGGGCTTTCAAATTGTATATCCCTAATGCCTAATGATATTGAACATCTTTTTGTTTGTTTATTGGTCATCTTTATCTCTTATTTGATGAAGTCTGTTTTCAGATTTTTATTAAATTTTTTAAAAAGATTTTATTTAGTTATCTGAGAGAGAGAATGAGAGAGAAAGCATGAGCAGGGGGGAGAGGGAGAAGCAGGCTCCTCACCGAGCAGGTAGCCTGAGCTGGGATCACAACATGCCGAAGGCAGATGTTTAACTGACTGAGGCACCCAAGTGCCCCTGTTTTCAGATTTTAAAGTGGATTGTTTTTCTTCAATTATTGAGATGTAAGGGTCCTTTATATACTCTGAATATTACTTCTTTGTCAGATACACATTTTATGAGTATTTTCTTGGAGTTTGTGACTTACCTTTCACTTAATGGTGTCTTTTGAAGAGCACTTTTTAATTTTGATGAGGTTCGACTTTACAGTATTTTCTCTTTTGTTTATGCTTGTTTGTTACAAGAATCCTTTGTCTATCCCAAAATTACAAAGACTTTTTCCTATGTTTTCTTCTAGAAATTTTAGTTTTAGGTTTTACAGTTAGGTCTGTGATCCATTTCAATTAGTTTTATATATTTTTTTCATTTGAATATTCAATTATTCTAGCATCATTTGTTGAAAACTTCTCTTACTGAATTGCCTTAACATCTTTAAAAAAAAAAATTTTCCATATATGTATGTGTTTATTTCTTGACTCCTTATTCTGTTCCACTGATTTATATGTTTATCTTTTTGGCAATTCCAAACTGTCTTTATCGTAATAACATTACAGTAATTCTTGAAATCAGGTCAGTTAAGTTTTTCAACTTTGTTCTTTTTTAAATTGCTTTGGCCAGTCTAGGCCCTTTTCATTTTGATATAAAGTTTAGAATCAGTTGTCCATTTACATAAAAAGTTTGCTGGAATTTTTGTTAGGTTGTGTGTTAATTAGGATTGATAGATCAATTTGGATAATTGCCATCTTAACAGAGAATTTTTTAGTCCATGAACATTGTCTACCACTCCATTTGTTTAAATCTTCTTTACTTTTTTCTACATAATTTTGGTAGTGTTAAGTGTAGAGTTAAGAAAGTCTTTTGTTAGATTTATTTCTAGGTATAGTATGGTTTTGGGAATTATTATAAATGGAATTGTAATTTTTAATTTCACTTCCTAGAATTTTATTGCTGCTGTCAGTTACTGTTGATTTCTGTATATTAGTCTTGTATTTGTTCTAGAGTTGTTTCTTAGATTTAATAGGATTTTCTACATGAGCTATTACATCCTCTTTAAGTATAGCAAGATTACTTCTTCCTATTCAGTGTTTATGCCTTTTATTTCTTATGTCTAGTTGCAAGGTCTAGGACTTCCAGTATAATAAAACACTTCCAGTTTAATAAAAGTGATGGAAGCATCATCCTTGTCATTTTACTGATTTTAGGGGGAAACAGCTCAATCTTTCACCATTAAGTATGATATTACCAAGAGGTTTTATGTGGGTGCCCTTTATCAAATTGTGGAAATTCCCTCCTATTCCTAGTCTGAGAGTTTTTATGAATGATTATCGAATTTTGTCCAATGCTCTTTCTGCATATTTTTTAAATTTTTTTTTTATTTTTGTTTATTTATTTGATAGAGACAGTGAGAGCAGGAACACAAGCAGGGGGAGTGGGAGAGGGGGAAGCAGGCTTCCCGCTGAGCAGGGAGCCCATTGCGGGGCTCGATCCCAAGACCGCGGGATCATGACATGAGCCGAAGGCAGACGCTTAACGGCTGAGCCACCCAGGCACCCCCTCTTTCTGCATATTTAGAAGTGATACTTGTTTTTTTCTGCTTCATCCTGTTAAGACACTGAATTACATTGATCTTTTCAATGCCTAAATCAATCTTATATTTTAGGGATAAGCTCTACCTGGTGACGGTATGTTGTCCTTTTCTCTTTTGTTGGATTCTTGGCTAATTTTTAATAGTCATCTATATTCAAAGTCAAACTGGTCTGTAATTTCCTTTTTGGTCATTTTTGGGGTCTTTTAAATTTGGTATTAGAGTTATTCTGGCCTTATAAAATGAAATGTGTAGTATTACCACTTCCTCTGTTTTCTGGTGGAGTATGTATAAAATTGGTCTTATTTTTTCTTTGAGCTTTTGATAGAATTCAGTAGTGGAACAGTCAAGGCCCAAAGTGTTCATTTTATTTTGCTTAAAGATTTTATTTATTTATTTGACAGAGAGCCAGAGCCAGAGAGGGAACACAAGCAGGGGGAGTGGGAGAGGGAGAGCAGGCTTCCTGCGGAGCAGGGAGCCCAATGCGGGGCTCGATCCCAGGATCCTGGGATCATGACCTGAGCTGAAGGCAGACGCTTAATGACTGAGCCACCCAGGCGCCCCACAAAGTGTTCATTTTAGAAAGGATTTTGATAATTGATTCAACTACTTTAATAGATATAAAACTGTTTAGGTTTTCTATTTCTTCTTTTGTAAATTTGGTAAGTTGCTTCCCACACCCAAAATTCTTTGTCATCTAAGCTGTCAAATTTGTTGCCATAAAGTTGTTTATATTCTTATATTCTTCTAATGTATATCAGATCCATGGTGACAACCCCTGTTTCATTCTTATCTTAGTGGCTGGTGTTCTTTCTCTCTTTCCCCTTCTCTCTCTCTCTCCCTTTCAGAATTGTTTTTTGGTGGTTTCTCTAGAGGTTACAATATACTTAACCTTTCAAAATCTACCTATTATTAATGTTGTACCACTTCATTTAATAATGATGTGGATCTCTCTACCCTTTCTTTATGTTAAAATTTTTATGTGAATTATATCTGTATTGAAAACCCCAGGGGCGCCTGGGTGGCTCAGTCGTTAAGCGTCTGCCTTCGGCTCAGGTCATGATCCCAGGGTACTGGGATCGAGCCCCGCATTGGGCTCTCTGCTCAGCGGCAAGCCTGCTTCTCCCTCTCCCACTCCCCCTGCTTGTGTTCCCTCTTTCGCTGTGTCTCTCTCTGTCAAATAAATAAATAAAATCTTTAAAAAAAAAAAAGAAAACCCCACCAGTCAGTTGTCTCATGACAACTGATTCTAAACTTTGCTCTAAGTTGTGATATGTACCTTTGAAGAATTTAAGAGAGTGAACTTCTGTGTTCACTTTCTTATTTTTACCATTTCTAGTACTTTCTTTCATTGCTCAGGATCCAAACTTCCCTCTGTTACTTTTCTTTTTCCCCCCTTCAGCCTGAAGAATTGTCTTTAGTTGTTCTTGGGATGTAGTATTTTGTGACATATTTTCTTAGTTTTCCCTAATCTGAAATATAGTGTTGTTATCTGCCTTTGTCCCTGAAGGATATTTTCACTAGATAGGGAATTCTGGGTTGATAGCCTTTTTCTTACTGTACTTTATAGATGTGTGTTCTAGTCTCCAGAGCATCTGATAAAATATTAGCTTTCATTCAAATTACTGTTCTGTGTGTAATGTTGCTTTTCTCTGGCTACTTTGAAGATTTTTTTCTTTTATCCTTGTTTTTAGCAGTTTGCTTTTGATGTGTTTAGGCATAATTGAATTCAAATTTATCTGTTTTTGGATTTCCTTAGCTTCCTGAATCTGTAAACGTGTATTATTTCCCAAATTTGAGAAGGTTTGGAACATTATTTATTTAAATTTGTGTTCATTCTTCAGGGCGCTTGGGTGGCTCATTCGGTTGAGCATCCAACTCTTGATTTCAGCTCAGGTCATGATTTCAGTGTTGTGAGATCAAGCCCTGTGTCGGGCTCCAGGTGCAGTGAGGAGGCTGCTTGAAGATTCTCTCCCCCTTCCCCTCCCCCCACTTGCACACACCTGTGTGCATGCTCTCTCTCTCTAAAATAAATAAATCTTTTAAAAAATAAATAAATATGTGTTCACTCGTCTACTTCTGGGTCTTCAATTACACATGTAAGATCTTTTGATATTGCCCCACAGGTCCGTGAGGTTTTGTTCTTTTTTTTTTTTCTTAAACTTTGTTACTCAGAGTGAATAATTTCTGTTGATCCGTCTTCAATGTCACTGACTCTTTCCTGTCCTCCCCAATTCAGCTTCCAAGCTTATCCAGTGTTTTTATTCCCAATGCTGTATTTTTCAGTTCTCAAATTCCCATTTATTTCTTCTTTATATATTCTGTCTTTCTGTGGAGAACTGTACTGTGAGATTAAACACTTAAGTGGAAATCTTCTGAAAAGCAATCACATTGCTTTAGCAGCCTTCTGAGACCAAGATCAAAGTTCAGGATAGAGGTTATAGAGCATAAGCAGGCTTTAAAAATTTTTAGGACTCAATGACCTAAACCCAAGACAAAAATCAGGTAATAGAAAAAGACCCACAGATGATACTGGTATTAGAGTTAGCAGAAAAGAACTTTAAGACAACATGACCAAGATAATAGAGGAAAAGGTGGACAAAATAGATAACACTACTTGTGAGCCCACTTAATAATATTTTAATTTTCAGTTTTACATGTTTTATTTCAGTGTTAGAGATTCCATTTGGTTCTTTTTTTATGCAGACCAATTCTATATGGAAATTTTTTTAATCTGTTGTCTATTTTCTCCCTGTTTTTCTTTACGTATACAACTAAATAGAATGTGTGTTCTCCAGTTGTCAAATGTAGTGGGGGTTTTTTTGTTTGTTTTTAAATTTTAAGTAGGCTCCATGACCAACGTGGGGCTTGAACTCATGACCCTGAGATCAAGAGTTGCATGCTCTACTGACTGATCCAGCCAGGCTCCCTGAGTGTAGTGTTTTTAGATGTGTCAGTTATGCTAATTTTGCTCAGAACTTGGTATGTTCATGATTTTCTTGCCTACTTGTTCTGTTTTTTTGGGATAAAGGACTCCTTTGAGTTTTGATAACATTTTGTTTCTGGATCTGGAAGCTGGTTATATAGGTGTATTCATTTTGGGAGAATTCATTGAGCTATGCACTTATAATTTATGCACTTAATGTATGTTATACTTCAATGAAACATTTAAAAATATCCAAAAGACCATTTCTTTTTCTCTCGGTCCTTTTAAAGAAAAATATTACTTTGCCACTTACCAATCAGAAATGAAAATGACTAATAGTAACAAATATTTTGCCGGTGAGAATTGGCAGATGTCTTCTAGAATATAAATGCTCATTACAACAAGATACTACACTCATTGTTTTAGCTTGACAAACCCCCAAGGGCACAATTCTGTAGATGTTAAAAGAACACAAATCTGAAAGAACCTTGACTTCTTTTGACAGTAACTTGGAAAAAATAATTCTTTTCCAAGGCAGTTTTGTGAACTGTATTTGTATCTGTAAAGCTTAGAATAATTTTCTAAATCTATATATGCTTACCTTTAATGCTAACATACTGTTTTCATAATAGGAACAATTAGAGAAAGAGAAGCAACAGAATGATGGGAGGCCCATGAGTGATAAAACCTTTGAAAAGAAACGTAAGTGGTTTTCCTGTGTCTTCACCACTAAGTCATACAATTAATGTTGCATCCTGGCATTCTGAAAACCCATGCTGATTTTCAGATTTGATATGGGAAATTGCTTTTCTTTCTTTCATTTTCTAAAATTTGTTTATGCAAACAATGAATCATGGAACACTACATCAAAAACTAATGATATACTGTATGGTGAGTAACATAACATAATAAAAAAAATTTTTTTAAAAAGTTGTTTTCAAAAATTGGCTGCTTCATGTGGTACTGACTTAGGAATACATGAATAAATGGTGCAAGTCAGTGTGGAGGTTCATATTCTTCAAAGGAAAACTTAAAGTCTGGTAACAGCAGTAAGACTGTGAAATTGGTCACTGAATAGTGAAGTTTGAAATATGTAATATGTAAATATATAAAGTAAGAATATTTGGGAAAGAGCATGCTGTTTAGCTAGGGACAGGGACTCATGTTCTCCGTGTTGTCTTGCGTGTGTATATGGAGATTAGGAGCTCAGAGGAAATTACAGAATTTAAAACAGAGTTTGTTTTAGGTAGAGACACTAAGACACCAACAACTCTGCCTAAGAGCATCCCTATTTCTGTTCCTGGACCTTCTGGAACAAGCACCCCATCGACAAGTAAGAGACAACTTCTTTTTATGTCTCCTTTTCCCCTTTTCTAAAAATTTATTACAGGGAAAGTCGCTCCATGAGATGAAATTCTAAAATGCTTTTTACCTTTTATCATTTCATTATTTCAGGAGTTCTTGATGGGCAGCAGGAGTAAGAGATAGTCCAGTTAGCTCAAACTAAGGAAAGGAAGCTGTACACATTTGTGCCTAATGAAAGTGGGGTTGGGGGGCGCCTGGGTGGCTCAGTTGGTTGAGCGACTGCCTTCAGCTCAGGTCATGATCCTGGAGTCCCGGGATCGAGTCCCGCATCGGGCTCCCTGCTCAGCAGGGGGTCTGCTTCTCCCTCTGACCCTACCCCCTCTCATGCTCTCTGTCTCTCATTCTCTCAAATAAATAGATAAAATCTTTAAAAAAAAAAAAAAAGAAAGTGGGGTTGGGGTTGGCAAGGGGATGGGGTTGGCGCAACTAAGGATGAACTGAACAGCTGCATTTTCCTTCTGCTTATTACTCCAGGCAAAGAAATCAAGAAATCCAAACTGATTCGAAGCCAGTCTTTTAACAATCAAGCTTTTCATGCAAAATATGGCAACTTAGACAAGTGTCCTAGGTATGATCTGTCAGCTATTCATGTTTTAATCCAAGTTTTACCTTATAGTTACCATCTTTATTAATGTGAAATCAGGATTAATTTTGAGTTTTGTATAAGTCAGTAAATTGTAAGATTTCTTCTATAAGATTCTCTATGAAAAAACCTGTAGTCTACCTCTTTGTATAGGAACAGGTATTCTGGCATTCTAGAAAAATTACCGCCATGGTGCTGTATAATGACATCATGGGATCCATACACTGTTTTATGAGGGAGGTGGTGCTCTGTCACATACGCCACTCAGCCTCTAAGTGCGTATGGACGTGCCCCATTTGCTAAGTGGACGTGGACATCCACATGCTGTTGATACTGTTTCTTTCTATATAGAGAAGCCATCGGCATGTGTCTGTGGTAAAGAGTTCACAACCATTCTTCTTACAACAGATGAATGTCTGGTTTCCCCTTTTGCCCCACAGACTGAATTATAAATATAAACAGTTAAGATTAGGAGAGAATCAGCATAAATTCAATGGCCATAATTTGTTATAAATGTTGTACATATATAGTATGTAACAGCTGCATACCAATCAACAAAACTAATTTTAAGTAAACATAATTGTCTTTAAAAGTATTTATTGAGAAAAATAACATGGTATGGGAAAAATACGTTTTTCTTTTGCTAAAGATAGCTTACTCTAGATTTTCAGCTATATTTTTGGACATTCTCAATAGATCTATCTGGAGTGATCTTGAGATGGACAAAAGAGATTAGAACTGAAGACAAGTTATTTCCAGGAAAATTTTACCCATATTCTCTGTCTTAGCTGAGCAGAGAGAAAAACTTTAAGGAAATGCTCTTAAGTTAAAGACAAAGGAATTGTTGGGAGGCATGGAATGTAAACAATAAGTGAGAAGTAATAGTAGCAAATGTGCTTCATCAGAAGTAACGGGAAGCATTAAAAAAGATTAGAAAAGACCAAGTGCCGAATGACTGGAGTGAAAGAAGCATATTCTTCTATTTTAAACTAAATCACGTTCTTTTCTAGTAAAAGTTCTACAGCAGGATATACACCTTCTGTCTCAGGGTTAGGAAAGATTTCGGTGATTTCACTGACTGGTAAGTAGAAATCTGAGCTCTTCAAAAAATTGCTAAGTATAATGAAATGTTATTTTCTTTACATGACATACTTCTTTATTTCTAGATATAGTGTTTTTCCTCGCCTTACCTCTTTATCAAATGCCCAGATAATTAAATTTTTCCCTAGCAACTAAGAAAATACTTGACTATGCCATTTTGTTTTCACTGTCAAAACTCAGCATTCAATGCTTTTGAAAGACAGAAAGGACAGTAATAGGGTAGGTTTTTCCATAATCCGAGGGCCTCCTGGGGGCACAGATTAAATGTTTTTGCAGTAATTTTTAAGGAAGTTAAAAACAGTAGGGCTTCATGGTGGATCATATGCAGCCAAACATTTACAGTATTATATATTTGAATGTTTATACCAGGGGTCAGCAAGCTTTTCCTGTAAAGAGCCAGGTAGTAAATATTTTCAGCTTTTTTGGTTAAAATTGTTTCTGTCACTATTATTCAACTCTGCTGTTGAGCAAAAAGCAGCCATAGACAGTACATAATGAATAGGTATGGTTATATTCCAATAAAATTTTAGGCAGCAGGCAAGACTTGGCTCACAGACTGATAGCTTGCTGAATTCTGGCTTATATAATAGAACACAGACTTATACTATGAATAAGGGAAAATATATCGCTAAAAATTACTAGTGGCTCTAAGTATATTTTTAAGTTTTTATCTTAGAGTATTGGCTAAAAAATATAGTATTGATCTATGGTCAGTTTTTAGTGTAAAGAATAGCAAACAAAGGTCTGAAATTTTTTAAGTTTGGTCACATTTCCTTTTCAAGGTTATGTTTTTTGAATATTTTGTCTTTCTCTTACCTCTTACTGTGTTCTTATTCTCATGAAAAATAGATACACACTCACTGGCTGTTCTATAAGCAGTGTGTTCTCATTTGCCAGATCAGAAAAATCTTTCTAATACTAAAGCACTGACATTCATATACCCTGTATAGAGTGGTTCTCCAAGACAGACTATGAGTAGCATAAGAAACCTGAATGAATTTGATAACAGGAAGCTTTTGAACTAAAGTTATCAACAATTCTTGAAGTGAGGGCTATAAATAATAAAACTGTTGTTTACTTTTATCATAGCAAATCAGTGAATTCTTTAGGAGATACTAAGGGAACATTCAGGGTTTGTGAACTTTATATACGGAGTGTCTTTAAGAATTGTAAGCATATATGGAAAGTCAGTTTGAATTAGCTCAGCTTGGAGCTAAATGGTGCAGATGATTATTGATATCCATAAATGGTTCTTCAGACTTGCATGGATCCAATTTGGCTTCTTGAAGATGAGTTCAAATGAGCATATTTATTCATGAGCTTCTAACAATCCTTTCCCAGAAATTTCTTTGCTTAAGTCATTAAGAATATTGATTCAGAATGGTTTTTGTTTTTTTTTAAAGATTTTACTTATGTATTTGACAGAGAGAGTGAGAGACAGTGAGAGGGAACACAAGCAGGGGGAGTGGGAAGCAGGCTTCCCGCCAGGCAGGGAGCCTGATGCAGGGCTCGATCCCAGGATCCTGGGATCATGACCTGAGCCGAAGGCAGATGCTTAACCGACTGAGCCACCCAAGCGCCCCATGATTCAGAATGGTTTTTTATAAGTTTCAATTATTTTGTGCACTAATTTCTTCAGTTTTTACTTTGCTAGTTCTTAAGTCACCTTGAGAATCAGGAGTGTGTATGTGATCTACTGATCCATAAAACTTAACATCCAGAGTCTTAAATAATGTATTTTATAAGGGTAAATCTTTTATTAAAATATTTGGAAAATATTCTGTCTTAAGGGTTCAGTATTATTTTGGGGAGAGGGAATATTGGTTGAATGAAATCTCTTCTAGGTTATTGTATATTGCTTAATGAAGTACAGACTGAGGAAAAAGTCGTTACACAATTACACATCTGATCTACAAAGAGAAAAAGGGAGCAAAATGTCTTTTTACAAACGTATTAGATGTTCACGTAGAGAAGAGATTTTACTTACTTTGGGACTTAAGGCAGGCTTCAAGATGTTTATGTCATTTGGGATGAAGCCTAAGGTATGCTGGGATTTCTGACGGGCAGAGAAGTGTATGGAATAACATCCTATTCAGAGTACGTGTCATAAGGAGGACATGTCAATGTCTTGAGGAAGTAGCAGTAGGCCAGTTTGTCTGGAGCACAGAGTTGAGTGTAGAAGAGTGGGGTAAATAAAGCTGAAATGAAAGGTCAGAGTTATCGCTTGGAAGGTCAAATTGAGTATTTGTTACTTAATATGAACCATCGGTAATTGGTGACTTTTGCCTGTCTTCAATTCATCCAAGGCTATGTGGGTACAACAGACTGGGGGCAATACGAAGGGAATGCTAGTAAGGATTCAGGGAAACGAACGGCAATGTATCCATTAGTGGGTATGAAAATGCATGGAACCCTTTTGGAAAACAGTTTGGTAAAGTTCATCAAGAATCCTAGTTTTAAAAAGTAGTCTTTGAGTCAAGCAATCCCATTTCTAGTGACCTGTCATGAAATAGTAGGATAAAATACATGACACGTGATAAAATATATCATAGTTTGTACCTTTGGTATGGTGTGATAAAAATGGCACTTTACCTTTGTCACCCTTCTTCAAACCTACAACCTTAAGAAGAGCATCCACTAAATTCTAATAGAAGGGCATCCTGCAAAACGTTTGGCCAGTACCTCTCAAAACTGGTAAGGTCACCAAAAACAAAGAAAGGCTCAGGAGAGCCGACAAGTGAAGGTAATGTTGTATACTGGATGGATCCTGAGACAGAAGCAGACATTAGGCAAAAACTAAGGAAATCTGAGCGCACTATGGATTTTAGTTAATAATAATAATAATAATAATAATGTCTCATTACTGGCTCATTCCCTGTAACAAGTGTAGCATACTAGAGTGAAGTGTTAGGAGAGGAAACCGAGTTAAGGGGGTGGATGAAAATTCTCTGTATTATCTTCTCAATTTTTCTGTAAATCTAAACTTTTACAAAATAAAGTCTATTTTAAAAAATAACTTTTATAGTAACTTCAAAAACATTAAGTCTTCAGGGATAAATTTAACAAAATGTGTATTCTGTGTACACTAAAAAATTCAAAACATTGCTGAATGAAATTAAAGAAGACCTAAATAAATGGAGAGAGATACTATGTTTTTGAATGGAAAAACCTAACATTGTTATGATGTCAGTTCCTTTTAAATTAAGCCAGAGATTTAATGCAATCCTCATCAAAATTCCAGTAGGCTTTTTGTAGAAATGTATAAGCTGATTCTAAAATCTAAATTGAAATGCACAGAACTGTGGATAGCCAAAACCATTTTGAAAAAGAAAACCAAATTTAGAGAGCTTAAACTGCCTGATCTCAACACTTGCTAGAAAGCTTCAGTAGTCAAGATGGGAGTGTCTACACTGACATACATAGGCAGTTGAGTTTCCACAAAGACTCCAGGATAAATCAGTGGTAATGGGATAGTATTTTCAAAAAATGATGCTGCTTAATACCCTCTAGTTCCATCCACGTCATTGCAAAGATTTCATTCTTTTTGATGGCTGATATTCTATTGTATAGTTATACCACATCTTCTTTATCCATTCATCTGTTGATGGACATCTGAGCTCTTTCCATATTTTGGCTATTGTGGACATGGCTGCTATAAACATTGGGGTGCATGTGCCCCTCAAATCACTATGTGTTCTTTGGATATCTAAATTTTAAAAAAACAAAAACAAAGCAAAGTGACCCTCAATCCTTATCTCACACTACACACAAAATTATCTCAAAATGCATGATAAACCTAAGCATAAAAGCTAAAACTATGACATTTCTGAAGAAAATATTACAGAAGGAAGTCTTTGTGATTTGGGAATAGACAAAGATTTCCCCAAACCATAAAAGAAAAAGTTAACATACTGGACTTTATCAGAATTTAAGACTGCTCTTTGAAATAGAGCATGAACAAAATAAAAGGCAGGACACAGATTGTAAGAAAATAATCATATTATATATACCTGACAAAGGACTTATATTCAGGATAAACAAAAGAAATCTTTAGAACTAATTGGTCAGCACTGTCAAGTGCGTGCAAGGATATAGAGCAACTCTCCAGAATGCTTATTCATTGCTCATGGAAATGCAAAATGGTACAACCACTTTGGAAACAGTTTGGCAGTTTCTTTTTTTTTTTTTTTAACATAATTATTATTTGTTTCAGGGGTATGGGTCTGTGATTCATCAGTCTTACACAATTCACAGCGCTTACCATAGCACATACCCTCCCCAATGTCTATCACCCAGCCACCCCATCCCTCCCACCGCCCATCACTCCAGCAACCCTCAGTTTGTTTCCTGAGATTAAGAATTCCTCATATCAGTAAGATCATGTGATAATTGTCTTTCTCTGATTGATTTATTTCGCTTGGCATAATACCCTCTAGTTCCATCCACGTCATTGCAAATGGCAAGATTTCATTTTTTTTTTGATGCCTGCATAATATTCCATTGTATATGTATATACCACATCTTCTTTATCCATTCATCTGTTGATGGATATCTAGGCTCTTTCCATAGTTTGGCTGTTATGGACATTGCTGCTGTAAACATTGGGGTGCACATGCCCCTTCGGATCCCTACATTTGTATCTTTGGGGTAAATACCCAGTAGTGCAATTGCTGGGTCATAGGGTAGCTCTATTTTTGACTTTCTGAGGAACCTCCATACTGTTTTCCAGAGTGGCTGCACCAGGTTGCATTCCCACCAACAGTGTAAGAGGGTTCCCCTTTCTCCGCATCCTCTTCAACATCTGTCATTTCCTGATTTGTTAATTTTAGCCTTTCTGACTGGTGTAAGGTGGTATCTCATTGAGGTTTTGACTTGTATTTCCCTGATGCCGAGTGATGTTGAGCACTTTTTCATGTGTTTGTTTGGATGTCTTCTTTGCAGAAATCTGTTCATGTCTTCTCCTCATTTCTTGACTGGATTATTTGTTCTTTGGGTGTTGAGTTTGATAAGTTCTTTATAGATTTCGGATACTAGCCCTTTATCTGATATGTCATTTGCAAATATCTTCTCCCATTCTGTCAGTTGTCTTTTGGTTTTGTTGACTGTTTCCTTTGCTGTGCAAAAGCTTTTTATCTTGATGAAGTCCCAATAGTTCATTTTTGCCCTTGCTTCCCTTGCCTTTGCCAATGTGTCTAGGAAGAAGTTGCTGCGGCTGAGGTCAAATTTTTGGCAGTTTCTTATGAAGCTAAATATACACCTACTATGTGATCCAGCAATTTCACTCCTAGGCTTTTATTTATAAGAAATGAAAACACATATCCATACACAGACTTGTACACAATTGTTCATAGCAGCTTTCTTTGTAATCGTCAAAAACTGGAAACAATCCAAATGTCATTCAACAGGAGAATGGCTAAACAAATTTTGGCATATCCATACAATGGCACATCAGTCAGCAATGAAGGGGAATGAAGTATTGATACACACAACAACAAGGATGCATCTCAAAATAATGCTGAGTGAAAGAAGACAGACAGACTGTATGATTCCATTCACATAAAACTGTAGAAAATTTGAACTAATTTTTAGTGACCCGAGGTAGATTGCCTGGGGTGTGGGGGAGGGGCACCAGGGTGCAGGAGGGAGGAGTGGGTGTGTTCACTCTTGGTGGTGGTGATGGCTTCATGGGTGTATACATATGTCAGACTTTAAATTTGTGCAGTTTATTGTACATAAACTCTACCTTAATAAAATGGATTTTAAGAGAAAAAGGTCAGCTATCATTAACCTTTCTTCTCTTAGGTTATCATCTCTCTTAGCACATTCAGTATGTCTGACTGTACTTGAATTCCTTCCAGATGACTCATTCCGCGCTCGCAGTGCCAGTAGCATTCCGACTTCCTTTTCTCCCAGTCCTTCCCTACCGAGCACCTCCCGTGGGGCAGGTAACTCAGCTGATCCAAAGAGCAGTGGAAGCAAAGACGCGCAACCACGAAAGGCTCCCTTGTAAGTAATGCAGTGCTGTGCTGGCTGGATCATTCTACTGTTTTCCGAGGCACTCTCCTTCCCACTTAAATTCTTTCCAAAGGAGAGACAGTGTCCGTAATGAAGAAAAGGTAGAAGTTAAAAGGAATTATTTTTACCTGCGCCTCTGTTATGTCAGCTACTTTTTTTTTTTTTTTTTTT